AGAATAATCACTGTGAAAAACCATATCATGTTGCTGCTGATCTGTTTCATGTTGCTGCTGATCTGTTTCATGTTGATGTGTTCATTTGTACTCATCTGCTCACACAGACTCATGTTCGTGCTGCTGTTTGGCATATTGTTTTCACTGTTTTTATGCTATTAGTGCTTAGTGTATATTTAGCTGATGTTTTTCTTAGTTCATATCTTCGATGTTATTACTGTTTTTCTTTTACATTTTATTGTTGGATGTAACTGGGACCCTGTGAACATTATCTCGTTCCACTACATGTGGTGTGTATAACAAATAAATCTCTGACTTTGACTTTGACTCTGACAATGTAAACTTCACTTCAGGCACTTATGATATGATATGACATATGATGATATATGATGATATATGATGATATATGATGATATATGCTGTGGGCAAACTGCATGTTTTTTCAACCATCACACATGCAGTGCAGAGAGAGAGAGAGAGAGATTCCATCTGCTGTTGGCTGCAGCATCAGCACCGCTCCTCCTCTTTCTGTCTGCAGTCCAACCCTCTCCTCACGCATGGTTGTTGCAGAGCAGACATTCAGAGAGCAAGAGCACAGCAGAGCTGCACGGCTCTTTCATTTTGCAGCCCCTGTATTTATTAATGAGCCTCTTCTATCAACCTGCAGCAACAAAAACAACCTGCATGTAAGTCACGCCAATATTTTTATTTATTCTGCAGCGACGCAGCAGAAACCACCTTTGGTTTGGAGAAATGTTGTATTTACATCTGGATTACATGTTTTCCTGCAGATGTGGATGTGATCCATTTATTCTTGTTGTGCAGTTTGATATATCTTTAGAGAAATGTGTTTTCTATTAAAGATAAACTGCAGGTAGCAACAAGGCAAATAGCTGGTGGGGGTCAAGGGAGCGTGACGTCATCAGGGGAAAACAAATGATTTGATCTCAGATCTCAGGCTTACCGTTCCAGATCATTCTGATATTTTTGCAAAGGTTTGTAAGGGTTGTCATTTTTCTCCATTTAATTACAATTATTTCCTACACACACACATTTGTTTATTGTTTCTGTCAGTGTGTGATGCTGAGACCAGAGACGGCACGAGGCATGCATGCTGCATTCCTATGTATTGTTGTTTCCTCCTCACCTCCTCCTGGTGGTTTTTTCTTCTGTGAGGCAGATTGGCTGGTTGGAGTCCATGGGGCAGGGTTTAAGGACCAAATAAAGGCTGAATGACTTTCTTTCACACTCCACTGTCTTTTGTCCTGACTGATTTGTGTCTGATGATCCGTTTGTCCTTGAGGCAGAGCTCAGCGGTCCTGTTATTGTATGCCATGAAGCAAGCATCTCTTTAAATTATTACTGATCACATGGAAATAGTTTCTAAAAGAAATTCAGCTTTTTGAAGGTTAAAATGTTTCTATTGCTCCCATAATCTCAAGTATAATTCCACTTGATGATGCTCTCTACATAAAATATGTGTGAAAAGTGTTCTTATTAAAATCGTCTGCTGTCAGTCCCAAGAAAAGATCTGTCCCACATCTATAAACCATCCAGCTCAGTTTGTTAAACCTTGGTTTAACCTCATCTCGTGTTCCAGGTAGAGATCACACTGCATCACATCTGGGTGCCAGATTGTGTGGCCCTGTATGCTCATAGGTCTGATCAGTTCAGCAGGTGAACCACTCACAACAGCATATTTTTGTTTCTTTTGTGTGTGTGTGCACGCACGTGCGTGTGTGTTTCAGCAGGCAAAAATGCATATTCACAAATACCATGGGAGCGGCTCACTTGTGCAAGCTTCAGTGATCAACGAACAAAACAGAGGAAAGAAAGAAGATAGGAGATAAGTAATTGAGGTTGATGTGGAAAGAACGGTTATGTCAATGTGCCTCCAAATTAAAAGTTGTAAGTTTTCACTTTAGGCACGATGATGGTGTTTAATGCCTCTTTTAACAAACCGCACAAAAGACCAAGACAAAGTGATATGTGTGTGTAAAATGTGTCGCCACACAGCCTCAAATTTGTGCTGCTTTTGTCTGGATGGATGTAACAAGCCTGATGTAGCTCCTCCCCTGCAGGGGGCGAACAAAGAGGCCCACCTCCATTGACACCCCCCCCCCCCCCACACACACACACACACATTCATGCCCCAGCCCTGACGAAAGTGAGCGTGGCAATCATTGCCTTTTACTTCTATGCATCAGTGTACAGACATTTCACGTACATTATAACCTATTTTACTTTTTTTTTCTTGTTTATTTCAGTTACGTCATTAATTAGATCCTTAATTAATTGAGTTTCACAACATCTAAAACAGATCTCACATGAGTCTCCAAGGCTCAATGTGATTAATCTGTATAAACAAATGTTGAATGAAAAACACCTATTAAAACAGGTTATAATAAGTTTATGAGAACAATCTGTAAAATCAGCAAATTTGATCAGCATCTCATGAGCCTCCTCTAGAAAGTGCATCCATCGGCATAGATCTGTAGATCCACATTTTTAAATACATGTTTCCAATTAGATTTGTTTTCTATGCATGGGCTCTTTACCCAGACTTGTATGTTTTGTGTTGTTGTTTTACATCCTTTAAAGTGTTGATTTGGTTTAATTTATTTTATGTTATACCTTATTGATATTATAAAGTATCATGCCACCATGAGAAACAGTATTGAATCATATACTACTACATATTATGTTACATCATAGTGTATTAAAACAGTAACACGTGTTTAACCCCCTGTAAGAGTTCTTTTCACTGTCCTGCAGGGGTGGAAAACAGCCAATTTCATTTACTTCAGTTGTGTAGTCAAGTAAGAAAAAGATTTGTAAGCTCAATCATCCAGGTAGAAAACAATAGAAAAAAAGGTTAAATCGTGTCATCTGGACCAGTTCCTTTAAGTGAGAAATGTTTTGTCCCCCATCCGGAGGACATCGTCAGTCTGCAGCCTGCCAGCCAGATCTGCCCCATGGGCAGCGTTTACTGCTGTTTCAAGCCGACCTCCTGGTGGAATCTCAGAAGTAGGCTTTTAATGTTACGCCCCCTGAAATGGGGACAGAAGAGCCAGACATCCACTCAGCTCCCAAGTTGCTTTATTTTCATCCCCTTTATAGTTTCACCACCCAGGAAGTGACGTAATTGCTACATCTTTTCACAATAATCTTAGAGTTGTCCCTATGTATACATGTAGTGTCATTGTTTTCACATATTTAACTGCTTTAGTTTAAAATCATCTTAACAAATGGCTATTTTCATTTGGCCCATAACACACACCCCATCACAACAAGTGTCGTCCCAACACCCCATTCCTTGATCTAAAGGAATATTTGGACATTATATAGAATGCCATAACATTTTATATCAAACACATCACACTAATGACTTTTTTCAATTAATGCTGTAATAAATTATTCACACTTAACTGCATGTTTAACTCATAAATCCAAGCAGTTTGTTTACTAATCACATCACTTATTCAGAAACAGTCTTTTTGGGACAAGTGAATAAATCCATACTATTCCACCAACAGTCACTGTTTTGCAATAGCATGAATGCAATTAACACCACACAGACTGTGGGTGGCACAATGTCCAAAATCCACTTGCTTTGTGTTGCCTTCATAAACTGGGAGGTCATTATTGACATGGCAAACAACTTTATAGATGTCCATTTCCCAGTAATTACGAAGTTTTCCAGTCTCACCCCTAGGAGTCAAATTTCTGACCAAAACACAGTCACCCTCCTCTAATATAGAACAGCGATTGTTTTTGTCATAGTTTTTCTTTCCTCTTTCTGCAGACTTTGCTGCATTTTTCTGGGCAATTTCATAAGCCTCCTGCATTCCTCTTTTCCATTTGTCCATATACAGTCGGTGATTTGGCGTTCCTGATGTCTGCGTTAAACTGTTTGTTACAAACAGCTGTTTGTAGCACTCTTTGTTGAGCCTCAGGCTCCGTTACAGGCCTGCTCAGTGTTTCGTCATGATCTGGCACCAACTACTTCATTTAGGTAGGATGTAAACAAGGTAGCAGTAGGATACTTCATTTAGCCACTTGATCTCAGTGGAACCGCCAATGTTACGCACCCTGAAAGGGGACAGAAGAGCCAGACATCCACAAGTTGCTTTATTTTACCACTGAGTGGAGCCCACGTCCCCTTTATAGTTTCCCCACCCAGGAAGTGACATAATCGTTAATTCTTTTCACAATAATCTTAGAGTTGTCCCTATGTATACATGTAGAATCATTGTTTTCACATATTTAACTGCTTTAGTTTTAAATCATCTTAACAAATGGCTATTTTCATTTGGCCCATAACACAAGCACATGCACAACACACCCATCCAAAACAATCAGTCATCATGTCAAAACCAATGTCCCTCCTCTGGACATGTTCAATCAATCTCAGTCTGGCCTTTGCAACTTTATCTCACAGTTATTCAACCTATGTGGTTCCTCTGATGATCTCATCCCTAATCTTATCCATTTTTGTCACTCCTGAGGAAAACCTGAACATTTTCATTTCTGCTACTTCAAGTTCTTTCTCCTGACTTTTTTTCCATGTCTCTGTCTCCAGACCATATAACATAGATGGTCTCACAACTGTCTTGTTAACTTTTTCTTTGACCTTTGCCCTTTTGTCACAAATCACTCCTGAAACTTTTCTCCATCCACTCCATCCAGCCTGGACTCTCACTTTCACCTGTTTGCCACACTCCCCATTTTCCTGGACAGTGGATCCCAAGTACTTGAAGTCCTGCACCTTTGTGACCTCTGCTCCTTGTAGCCTCACTGTTCCACCGGCCTCCCTCTCATTCACCCATGTACTCTGGCTTACTACACTGACTTTCATTCTTCTTCTTTCAATTGCATACCTCCACCTCTCCAAGTTCTCTTCCACCTCTACCCTGTTCTCACCACAGATCACAATGTCATCTGCAAACATTATAGTCCACGGGGATTCCTGCCTGACCTATTCTGTTAGTTGGTCCATCACCAGAGAAAACAAGAAGGGGCTCAGAGCCGATCCTTGATGCGATGCCACCTCCATCTTGAAGCTATCTGTCACTCCTACAGCACATCTCACCACTGTCCTGCTGCTCTCATACATGTCCTGTACCAGTCTAGCATATTTATCTGCCGCTACAGATTTCCTCATGCAATACCACACCTCCTCCCTTGGCACCCTGTCATAGTTTGTTTTTCTAAATCCACAAAGACACAATAGAGTGCTTTCAGACTCTCTCTGTACTTTTCCATTAGCATCCTCAAAGCAAAGATGGCATATGTGGTGCTCTTTCTTGGCATGAAGCCATACTGCTGATTTTTTTTTTTTTTCATTTAGCCTTTATTTATCCAGGTAGTCTCATTGAGCCACGAGAACTCATTTTCAAGAGAGACCTGTTTAGGGAGCACATGGTGGGGGTTAAGGGCCTTGCTCATGGGCCCAGAGTGGGATGAATGAGGGTGGGGGCAAGTGTGGGTATTTAACTGACCCCACCCACAATTTTGATGTTGTCGGGGCCGGGGCATGAACCGGCTATCTTCGGATCACAGGCCCACCTCTCTAACCTCTGCGCCACCACTCCCCAGTCACCTTTCATCTAAGTCTAGCTTCCACAACCCTTTCCAAGATCTTCATCGTGTGGCTCACCAATTTAATTCCCCTGTAGTTGTTACA